TGGCCTCCTCAGCCACAGAGGGGACTCCTCCTTCTTAAGGGTAAATATCCACCTCCCTCATGAATCAGTCGATCAGCTCTCCCTGGTGTTTCCAGATTAGTCCAAGACAGGCTCAGAGCAGAGTCTGTGATGCACTGTAACCATCTTGGCAGTGGTGCTGGGGGATGCCCTGAGCATGTTCCCAGAGCCCCACCACAGCACAGCCCTTGGGCAGGATGTTTCCATCAAACATTGAGCCAAAATGGCACAAAGGATAAAAGGGCCGTGACTTAAAGTCACGAGGGTCTCCTGAGCTGATCTCTCTGCTCCGGGGGCAGGAGGGAGCCGACCCAGCAGACCAGTGGCTATGGTAGGAGAGGGGCACAGAACATCCCCTGCTCCAATACTCCAAAGCAGTTTTCAAGTGATAGTTTAGCCTGGCCCCAGACAGTCACTTTCCTGACCCATAACTAGTTACACTCCAAGGCTGCAGGATGGGCAGAGTGACATTAACTGTCCCTACAATTGGGACACTCAGTGTATGGTGGGAAGGAAACTCATCTCCCTCAGTCTACATGAGTAATTGCTGGTCTCACCACAGACCCAGCTCCCTCAGCTAGAGTGTGGGGGAGAAAAAGATGGTTTGGTTCTCTGGCCATTGGGGAAAAAAAAGCAAAAAACAAAAACAAAAAACCAACATTCTTTTGAGTTGAGCCATAAATGCCTTTTTTTGGTTGTAAGTTTTGGCAAATGCAATAGTAAAAAAGAAAGTTTAATTTTGACTGAAACCATTTGGTGTTCTTTTGGACATTAGTTAATTTTTGTTTGGTTGGTTTTTTTTATAGATGAAATTAAAGGAAATTTCTAATGGAAAAATACTATCAAATTGAAAATACAAATGTTTTCTTTAGTGTTGTACACAAAGAACAGTTCATTTCAGTAACTCCTCACTTAAAGTCATCCCGGTTAACGTTGTTTCATTGTTACATTTCTGATCAATTAGGGAACATGCTCATTTAAAGTTGTGCAATGCTCCCTTCTAACGTCATTTGGCAGCCGCCTGTTTTGTCCACTACTTGCAGGAAGAGCAGCTCGGTGGAGCTAGCTGGTGGGGGCTTGGAACCAGGGTGGACCAGCAGCCCCCCATCAGCTCCCCCTAAGTTCCCTGTGCAGCAGCTGCCTGCAGTTCAGCTGTGTCCCTCCCCCCACTGCCATGTGCTGCTCCTGCCCTCTGCCTTGGAGCTGCTCCCCAAGACTCCTGCGTGCTGTATGGGGGGAGGGGAAGAAGATGGGGGCTAATGACAGGGTGTCCCCTCCCCCCTGCTCCTGCACCCTGCTTACCCCATCTTCCATAGAGCAGGGGGGACACACGACAGAGGGAGCTTCCAGGCAGCAGCAGCTGCAGCTGCGGTTGGGTCTCAGCTGGCTGATCTAATTAACAAGGCAGTGTACTTCTGACCCCACTCTTCATACTTAAAGGGGAAATGTGCATCTCTCTCTCTCACACACACACACAGGGTATGTGTCTCTGTCTCTGTCTGCCCTCCCTCCTTTCCTGCTGCCTTGTAAAGTGTGAGAGTTAATCCTTGAGGGCTCAGCCCAGATATGTTTTTTGCTGCCCCAAGCAAAAGCAAACAAAAAAAAGAGCTCCGAGAGCACCACTGCCGAAGCAAAAATGCCGCCCCTGTAATTGTGCCACCCCAAGCACGTGCTTGGTTTGCTGGTGCCTGGAGCCGGCCCTGGCTCAGCCAATTGCTAGTTCATCATTTAGCAGTAAGGCATTCTCTGGGAAATATCCCACCTTCCGACTCCTCCACCTCAACCAAGCT